AAACGAGAAATGAGAATACCTTCTTGGCATTCTTGAGTCATGATTTTGCCGCGAAAGAGGAAGATGAGAAGGAGAAGCTTGATGATGATAACATGTCTTCTCATATTTTTAGGTAGGGGAAGCTTATTGTTTTCATATAGGATCATCATAATATATAGTGTAACAATCACGATATAACAATTTTGTAACATCTAGTTGGTACTCCTTGGAGAACCGTAATGATTACTTAGGTTGAAGAAACGCAGGTAAGATTCTCTCGTTAAAATGTCATTTTTTGGGAATCCTATGCAATGACATTTCCACTTAGAAATTATAATGTATGTAGAAACAAAAACCAGCTTGTATGCTTCGTTCTTTTAGCTTACACGACAACTCGATATTTAACATGGTGTAATGTTCATTGTTCACAAACTAATCTCACAAAGTAAACCTGGTTTACTCTTATGTAATGGATAGCAACATGGTGTAGCTACTAACTTGAGATCATTCACAGTCACTGTAATAATAAACGTCGGCAAATATTGCGCCCTTCAGTTAACTTTTTCTATGTCATCATTTAGGTCTCATCATTATAACTACCACGATATCTGAAAAAGAATAAGAAAACAAATCCACCACGATATAACATATAGTTTGTATGTATGTAGCAAGAATAGAGACTTCTCACTAGACGTCACTAGTAGATGTCTCTTCGTCGGCTTTGACCTCCTCAACCACGGCTTCCTCATCCAATAACTTATTCGTTGCAATTTTAGAATTTTTTATATATATACAATACATAATATTGTTATAAATATAACGACAAAAGACTTGTTAATATATCATTAAAAGTCTAAAATATTACATTTGGTCAGACTTATTTTTGTAAAAAAATGTATTAATGGATTTATGTTATAAAATTAATAAAAATATGTAGAGATTTTCATCATGACATATAGAATTAATTGTAATGTTTTGATTGATTAATTTAATTGATGTGCCGATGTGACCTTTAAATCCTCTACGATTGACACATATAATTAGTGTCCCCTCAATTAATATATACTAGGATAATAACGCGTGGGGTGAAATGAATATACTCAAACGAAATTTAAAACTTGTTTGTGTATATTCGAATGTAAGGTTATTTTGTTTAGGAATGTGTATCACCTATAGATATAAAAACTGCACGAACCGAACCAAATCAAAATTCATCAATTTGATTTTCAATTGAATTATATAATTATCTAAATGGTACATAAATTTTATACATAATTACCGTGGACAAAATTTAATTTTACAAAACATAACCGAAACAACAACAAAAATTACTAAAAATTATTACTTTGCTTATTTATTTTATATATATTCTGAATCAATTAGCTGGCTTTTATCACATAATATTTGATTTAGTATTGCTCACATGGTTTTAGTTTTAATATATTTTATGTATGTCCCAAATTTTTAATTGTTAACACATATTTTTCGAAACAAAATACAATAATGTTTTTTATTTTATTTTAAACGTGTTTAGTTATATATCAATTATTCTTAAAATATTTTGATTTTTTTTTTTAAATTTTAAAAAATGCCACATGTCCCATGCCACTTTCCAAAAATGCCACTTTTTTGCAACTTTTGCAAAATTGCCAATATTATTCTTGTATATTCCCAAATTACCTTTAATTATA